TCAGCAGCTTTCCCCTAACCATAGTTCATTAAAGACTTTATTTTGCTGCTAATGGGACCTCCTATCTGAGATATGGATCTCAACATTTCTTTCAGAATTCTCATGGACCTCTTCGTTATTTCTAATTAATTTTCTCCTTTTGAGCCTGTTAGATTAAATTGAGAGTCTAGGTGTGGTTGGTTTGCAGCTGATCTATGCTCTTAAAGTTGGTGAATTTTAGATCAAATGCATACACACAGACCAATTCCACATTTAAACTTCTCCATTATCGCAGCCTGGCTGCTGTCTATTTTTTGGTCTTCATGATGCTTTATTTTAATGATCCCTTCATGCTTTCATAGGATTCTTTTTTGCCAATTAGGTAATTAAAGGCAAATGGTTCAATACCCTTCTAACTAGGATTCTCATGGTAGAAATGGCTGAATAAAAATGCTACACTTCCATTTTTTTTTATCAAATTATAAATTTCCTTCCATTTCATAAACTAACTTTATATTCACAATTTTAAGAGATCCCAATAAAAAAACTGGATGTAAAAAAAAAAAAAAAAAAAAAAAACTGCAAGGTAAACACAGAATTGTGAGAAATATAGATTTGGGTACATCCTTTTAAGAGGAAGTGTAAAGTCATCTTTGATCCTAACCACTCTACTGAACCTCGCCCTTTTTGACAATCCAAACTTCCCAAAAGATGCTCTGCAGTATCTTGCACCCCCTAAAGTTTCAACCAGAACCGCTTTTTCTAAAACTGCAGCAGAGAGCCCACACTGTACCCTCACAAACTACTGGCAATCATCTAAATATAAGAGCATTTTTTGTACATGCATGATAAACAGGGTGTGTCTTCATACACTGCAAGAGCACATCGTATGTAGACACAGGCAGCTACCGTCTCATCACACACACCCCGAACACCCAAGAGAAGTCCTCACTGAACTGTGACTCTCTGACCAAAAAATGTCTATTTTTCAACACAGGAATGTGGGTGTTATATATATTTTTCTGACTCAAAAAGCTGCATTTGTATTTGACCACCTAAGGGCTGTGTGTTACTGAGCTTTCCTTCAGGGTATGTTAGCTGAATGGCTGCTTTATAAAAGTGAGGTCCGACTAGCTTTATTGTGCTTTTTAAAATTGTTCTAAATTAATATCAGTTGCACATCACTATATAGTTAGAAGTAATAATAGTGCTGTTCTCCTGTTGTGCAAAAAATGTTGTGAAGCTCACTTTGTCTATAATATACTTTTTAAAAACCGCTATGAAAAGCATTTTTTTCACATTTATTTAATATTGCCTTTTTGAAAATTTTTTACTGTAACTTTTTAATGTTTACATTTTTCTGCCCAGTGTTACAAACTACTTTGTATTTGGTGGCAGAAATTAACTTGATAAAGCTATCATCTATGCCCGTCACATCTTTTATTATATTAAGATAGATTATTCCTCTATTTTGGTAGTTAATGATGTTTTTTTTTTTTTAGCTGAATAGTATGTCCTACACTGGATTAATGAATCCGCTTAAGCTTAAAGTCCCTAAAATAATAACCCATCAACTTTTTTTACCCGTTGAATGAAATGAGTCTTGAGGTGTCAATTTATCTACCTTACCAGATGCAGACAAATTCTTAACATCCTGTCACTGCCTGCATCCGCTTCACAATCCTGCAATGCTTCTATATTCCACCAGGTGGTGCTGTTTCACTGTTATTACATCTAAGTACTCATTGTGAATCCTATGTACAGTGCACAGAACTGCAAAGTTGAAAGCATAGCTACTGTGGTTCATAGGGATATGGAAGTAGATGGATTTAGGTATTTGTAACCCCTTTCCTATGCTGATGTCTTGGATGACTGCTGACTGGTTCATGATATCTGAGAAAGACTTCTGACTGTGAGATACAATCACCAGGCCTTGGAGGAATATTCTGTGAAAAGCTCTTTGACTCCCCACCTTTGTACTTTTGAAACTCTTTGTACCTAAAACTGTGGAGCGTTATCATTTTTATGTGAAAATAAATTTTCTCAGTATTCTTGTTTTTTCTTTTCTTGAAATGCTTCATGATAATAATTTAGCCCCAGCATAAATGCACGATATCTAACCCACCCTGCCGAGAGTAGAGCTCTTTATTAAAAACAACATAAAAATGCAGGAGGTACAGAAAATATAAAAGCTGCCAAATTTTCTCTGTATAACTTGCTATTAATTTTACATACATGTCTTCGTTTTGGAAAAAAGTTAATTCAATTATGAAGTAAACAGAGATTGATGGATTTCACTCATTAGGCATTTTACTTTACTTTGCAAGTAAAATCAGAACAAGACAACATACAGCCCTCCCAGCATGATGTCCAGCCCTGTTGTGATCTAGGCAGTTTGTCTTCCTTACTTGAAATGATGGAAATGCTGTGAAGGTTGTGTCAAAGTAAAAACAAATTACAGACACTTAAACAGCAACATGTTATAGGAATAGTGTCTTGTCCCAAACATCCAATAAGATAAAAATCAACTTTTTCTTAAACATTTTGTGGCCTTGCAGCTCTGAGGCCTGAATGAATGAAAGTCAGACAATAATAACCAATATTTAAAAAAAGGAATTCCCACCACAGTCAGAAAAAAAAATATTCAAGATAAGATTGTTATGCTGAAGGAGAGCAGCAAAGGGAATGCAAATCATAAGGCTCAAAATTAAACTAACTTAATAAATGAGAACCCATTCAAAGCATTTGGTCATATTTTGTATTCCTTAATCTATTCCAGTATCTCCACAAATTGAAACTGATGTAGATCAAAAACAAACTGTTTTAAACCTTTTGTGCTGTTTTCCCACTTATGAAAAAAAAACCCATTTAGGATTAGAATATTAAGATACATTTATGAATACAGTTGAAAATAAGTTAAATATGTGCTTATTATTTGAAGGCATTTTTTGCATCTGACAAATGAGCTTAATTGCATATCCTAATTTATTAGATGACTATAGCTCATCACCTGCATAAAAAAACAGGTCATGGTACATAGTTAAAAAAAACAGTGTCACTTTAACACCTACAGAGTTGAATATAACTGTTTTAGATAACATTTGGTCCTATTCAAAATGAGTGTAAATTTGACTCTGAGTTTTAGTGTCAAAATCAAGAAGAACTCTCAGAGACTGGCAAGTAATTAACACCCTGTAGAGTTAAATTTACACTGCATGGCTGTCACATTTTACACTGATTATTAACTCCAACACTTGAGCTGATTTGCACTCTGGATAGTTGTAAATCCTTCATTTAGAGTGAAATAGGTTTACTCTGAACTTTTAACACCCTATCTTTTACCTGCAGTTTTTTTCTATTTGTTTTGCTCTTTTTAAAAATTGTAAGATTTTTAAATCTGCAAGATTAAATAACACCCCTGCAAAAGAGAAAAGAGCTCCCACATGTGTGATATTATATTGTGCAAAAGGCAATTCAGTTCTTTTGATTTAGTTTTTCTTTTATATTGATTTCTATTTTACCTCTGTTTTCATAGCCAATTCTTGTGCATTTATTTGATTACTGTGGCTGTTTGGCTATGTTTTTTGATGCCATCAACCCCAGTCTACCAAAACAGATTTTAGTTTTAATTAAGTTTTTTTTTCTTCTCTTAATTTTCTTTTTGAGAGGACTTGATTCATTTTGAGATTGTGCAGAAGAAATACCTAATCATACTCTTATGTTTTTATTGGTTTGCATTGGATAGTCTTAAAAAACACTCAGATATGAGTATAGAAATGTCAATCTCTTGGTAAGCAATATAAAACATTTGATTTAGCTGCAGCATTTCACAGCTTTCAAGGCCTCCCTATATGCATTGCTGACAGAGAGTGGGTGAGTTGGGTAAAGGAACGAAGCAGTTTTATTATTATAAACAAACATCTGCAATATATCAAAGGAAACGTGAGAAAAGTGTGTTTAAAGAATTATTTAAGAATTAATTAGCCTTCATGCACATGGATTAGTTATTTACTTATAGGCTGCTTGATCACTTGACTAGATCTCCTAAATATCTAATAATCTACAGCTGAAAACATTGAGCCTTTGTTATCAGGGTCATGGCAACCACAAAACATGCTTGAGAGGCGCTTAGTCACATCAGATAAGCTGGAACTTAGTCATCTTTTTAAAAAATGTGTTAAATATGTATGAAAGCTATTCATTAGAAGCGTTTATCAAAGGAATTGAACAAACATTGATGCAATGCCAGGTCTGACTTGATAAGGAGGATGCTTGAGGAGAGCATACCTGGAGTGTTTGACTTTTTCTAATGTCAATATTGAATATCACCAAACTGAAAAGGCTTTCACTGTTAAGATAGAAACATCCAAAGAGTTTTTTTCACTCTCCTTCTAATCCGTGGTTTACATTAAAAATATGAAGTCATACATTTTTGTAGCAAAATTGATTTAATGTAAATATTCACATCATAGCTGATAAACTAAGGGGGGAAAGTTGGTTGTGTGTAAAGAGAAAGGAAGATAATCTGTAATTTGCTCTGTAACCTGAGGATTATTCACCTCTCATCAGCACCGGTGCAAAGAGAACTGCTGCCACTACATCTGGTGCTTTAATCCAAAGCACTGCAGCCAAACTCAACACAAACAGAACCAAACATCCCGGACCTTCAAAGTAAAAGCATCCAGATCACTTTTTTTATATAATTTTTTTTAAAGCTGATTTCACCTATATGCAATTGGAAAATTAAATTGTGATGTGTGGTTTATAAATTGATCACTGGAACTCTTATTCCTGTCTGGATTTAGCAAAGTAAAACATGATGAAATCTCAATAGTGTCTAAAAGTTTTACTGATCATCAGTGCCGAATATTAAGTTATTAAAATGTAAAATATAAACCTAAATAGAAAAAAAGTAAAGCTGCTGCTTTATTGTATCTTATTTTGATGATACCTGGCATCAAACGTTCCTTCAGCTTCACACATCCCCAGCGCTCCTCTGCTGGCACCACTTGGATGCGCACAGTTCGCTGGATTTTGTTTTTCCACTGTTTGTTTTATATTCATCTTGATATTTTCTTTAAATCTGTAGATTTCTCTTTTTATAAAATCGTTTTTCAACATAATTGTCTTCACTGCACTTTGAACCATGGATGGACCAATGCGCAGGATGGTTTGGGAATAAAACTTGGGTTGTGCGCCGCCGTGACCCGTTCGTGGTTTGGCTAGAAGCCTTTTTGGTCTGTCATGGTCCCAACACTCCAGACAAGTTTACCTGGAAAATCATGGAGCACCGAAAGAGTCTCTTCTGCTACGTTTTCATCGCGGCGGAGCTCTGTTTGTGCTCCGCTCAAGTCCTCAGAATCGGTGAGCGCAAAAACTGTTTACGCACATTACAGAATCAGAAACCAGCTTAAAACAAGTGGGTCACTGTTTTTCTATTTAGCATCTAAAATGAATCTGATGTTGTTTAATCTGCCTTCTTTAAACTTGTCCCTTGATTTCAGTTTGATGTTTGTTTTTTTTTTTTTTTTTTGTTGTACTTTCATCTGAGACTGGTTATGTTACAATATAGGGCATTCAGTGAAATACTTTAAACATTTACATTTCAAGCAAGGAGTGCACTGCAAAAAAACTGAATTCTAAGTAAGTCAATTTTTCTTAAAATAAGTACATGTTTCTTGAATTGAGCAGGTAAGTGAGACACTTTGCCAATGGAATAAGGAATTTTACATTTAGAATAAGGGAAAAAATGCAGTCTCCTATTTCAAGTGCATAATATCAAATAATCTGATTTTAAGGATAAAAATGCTCCTTCAACTGGGAGATTTTCTTATACCTACTCAAATTAAGGGTAAATACACTTATTTTAAGACATTTTCACAAATTTATAGATCATTTTTGAGGGTGTGTTATTGGAATCCAGGTCAAGACCTTATTACCTTTGTACATTAAAAAAGTATGTATATTTTGATGGCATAAATGAATGTCAATGTAATAACAAGAAACGCCAACTTGCCCACATATATAATGAAAAATAACAAAAGTGTTTCTATAAGAAATTCATGAAAAACACTCTGAGAGAAAAAGAAAAATGGCACTCCAATATAATGGGTATGCAATTGATCAAAAATGGTAACTTGCCCTATAAAGGGTTAAGCATATAACCGTTTGAGAGAAGGCCTTTTTATGTGAATTATCTGTAGTTTTCCATAATCTAACACCTATCAAACATTAGAAGTTCTCACCAATGTGGCAAATAACCCTTTTTCCCCCCAAAGGTATCTCTGATCAAGTCCGAAATGGGGATTCGGACTTGATCAGAGCAGCTGAGATGCCTAACCTTTCACGGCTGTCAGTTTCTCCTGCAGCAAGTTTCCTATACCTTTTACATGTTCAGTTGATGAAAAGTGAGCCCCCACCGCCACCTTATAGTGCAAAAACACAAATAGAAAAAAAAAAAGAGTTTAATCTTGTAAAACAAGCACAGAAAGTTTGATCCTGAGATTAAGTAAATAGATTTTTCTGCCTTTTGTAAGGAATCTTGACAGCATTTTTCCATCTCTAGTGTACAGTAGTCTACTTACAATGATCAAGCCGAGTTTGCTTTGCATGGCTTAGAGGTTTGTAAAAACAGAGATTTAGATTCATGGGATCAGAGAAGAATTGAAGGAGACATATTTGCAAACATAGGGGAGGAACTCTTTTAGGACACCATGCAAATTATTCAAATAATTTTTT